GCTTTTGTTGTGCTAGTTCCGAGATATAAGCCAATGACACCATCTCCGAGAAAAAAACTGTCCTTTCATCTAATTCCATTCCACTTCGCGGCTACGTAAATTACTAAACAACCACTAATTTCGCAATTTTTCAAAATAAAATCACAGAATTATTAGACTGACAGATATTTCATTATTTCAAAAGAATGATGAAGATGCCTGCAACGCAGGTGTTATAACTGTAAAAAGACTCGAAATTCCACGTCGATAATGTTCTGATTTTAATATAATGTAATATCTTCTCAATATTGATACGTCCTTTTACCTTTCACAGAAAAAAATTGTGTATTATACACAGGAAAAATATAAGATTTTAGCTCACGAACAACCTCGAACTGAAACCTACTCATTTTTTCCCTTGTATAATAAATAACCATTTTTGACCAATTAAAAGCCTGTATTTTGAATCGTACCATTCGCGAAAGAAAATAACATGTCGCCCCACCTGACGGCAGCAACTTGAACACTTCTGAGTGGTTTGTTTTGATAATATGACCAATAAGCACAAACAAAAAACAAATGTGTACCAATGAAATCAAAGTAAATATGCCGCTTTGACAGCTTTCAAGAACTTCGATAGGTGGCGTACGGTTATTTTCTATCGCGAATAGCACATTTCTGGATTATTTTTCCTCCTTGGGGGAACGAGCATGATATTACACTTGAAATTGTTTGACGTTTAGAGGTAAAATAACATTTACATTTAACTTGAGATTACGACGAATTCATTCTATAAGTTGAAAAGTTTGTAATCAATAAATGAATAATCTCAAGATGGCACACACGGTACATTGCCATGAACGTGACAACGAAAAAAAAATGAGATAAAATATAAATAATTTTGACTCTGCTACAATCAGAATTATGGAAAGAATATATTTCAAATTAATATTCAAAGGCAACAACCACGCAAACGGCGTGGTTGTAATTTCTGAATCTGATATCTATCAGAAATCCCTGGACGAGGTTCAACTGTTGTTAGTCGTACCTGTTATCATCTGCATCGTTCCATTTGGCTAAATAGAATCTGTGAGAGGGATTCTCTGCTGCAGAAGACAGCTATATTGAACAGTTCGTTTGCCCAACCATCAACTATCTTCTTGAATCAATACCTACTTCAAATTTATGGTAAGATTGTTCCAAGTTTTAATCAACTGCTTTCGAGGGAGTGTGAAATTCAGTAATAGTGACCTTTTTCTTGTGCTTCACGACCAATATGGAAAACAGACTATGCTACATATGCTACAGTTCATGATTATTAATTATTGTTTCTGTTGATGATGATATTGTCATCATATAATCAACTGATTTGTTGATCATTCATTTGCGATATTTTATAGTTAATTCATTAATTGTTACCACCGAGGTTCAGTTTCATAATCATTTATTTATTCATACATCCATTCTAGTTCCATTTAGATATAGTTGAATTTGTGAGGTTTTTGGCTCTGGCAAAATACGATCTGAAATAGTTCAATTTGTATGGTTATTGATAATATATCTGTGGATATCCTATATTTGAATCTTCCTACCCAAACCCCATAAATTTATATACAGGAAGAGACATTACAAGTTCCTTGTAAGAAAATATCTTTCAGCTAAATGAATTTGTAAAAACTGAGAGATTCGGTACTATCGACTTTGATTATTCCACTCATTTCAAAATACACGTTTTTGATAGGTTGAAATATCTGTTTTCATAATCGAAAACATTATGTTATCGGCATGTTGAACAATATTAATATCAACCTAATTAACTAATGAGTGAATTGCTAACCTCCTAACCCTAACATAATTTTCAAACCTGATAATTCTTGGATCATTTGACAGTCAATAGTGAAGTGAGTTGCTGTAAGTGGTCACGCCCTAAATTCTTTTATGGATGTATCTATGCATAACGCAACGACTGCATATGAAAATATGAGATTAAATTATTATTTTATCCATGAAATAATGAGTGTGGAGAAGTGTCAAGACAAATACGAATTTGCCATACAAAAAATCCATTTTTTATGTTGAAAACGGGAGCAGATTCGTTCCCGAAACGTCCAAAGATAAGTAAACATATTTTTTCTATATACCTTTATTGCTCCTCTCCAAACCTTTTTCAATACAAATTGTCACTGACAAGCTAGTGAATTTTTCTATTAGGCTCTCTGATAGGAAAATTATTTAAACGCAGTGACATTTTGTGGCAAATTATCTGATTTCTCCTCACTTCACGTATATTGGAATAGTATTCATATTTTTATTTTATAGAGACCAGAGAAAATCCCGATTCCGATCCTCGATTAATCTACAGACAGTATTTAGTGTAATAATCTTATTTGTATTTCGTTTATCATCAATACACTTCTTGTATAACATACGACAATTAGACCTGCGTTGATAAGGAAACCTTTTGAAGTAATTTGTCAATTTCATTCTGTGATTTGATTTGAACATTTAGTGGTTGTTAGACGGTGTTATTGGCTTATTTTTCGGAACTGACACAACAACACAAGCCATCAACAGTGTATATATATATGTATATACCGGAAACTAGTACAACTTTTTTCCGGCGAAAAAAGTAATGTTATGAAAAGTTACATTTTGTTACCTGTCAACAGAGTTGAAATGTCAAACATTTTTCCCTAGACAGGAAAGCACAAATTGCCGAGGCTAGGAAACCAGCCAAGGCATTTAATCTTTTTTTCTGCTATGTTAAACATAAATATGGAACCAATTTTGTGTAATTTTTTATTGAAATCTCCATCATTTTGTGTTCACCCCATGTCATTGTAAATTCTGATTACCAATTTGATTCAAATTATTACTTACTCCGTTGCATAGCAACAAACTTTTTCTGTCTAGGCAGTAAAAATATACCTTTTATGCCCGCTAAGTGTCATTAAAAATTCACTTTCAATGTCAATTAGAGATTTTTATTATATGTAGGTATGTTGTTTTCCTCCAACTGAAATTCTTTACTGGCTTATTCACGGTGGATGGCACATTAGACTTTACTAGTGAACCAAACAATGGATCATTTTTAAACTTTGAAGAAGCATCAAATTTGAGAGTTTTCTAGTTATAATGGCTCAAGTGTATAAGGTTTTGAGGACTTAATGAAGCTGAGTTAGATGAAACTCTTGTTATTCTGAATATTGGCAAGTCACATGTATGTGTCTCTGGTATATTTATTCTAACGAAGTAGGTGATAGCTTCAACCTACATGGAAACATGTTTTAGGTCATAAGGCGTTTTCGAGAACTTACTCTGGGTTGTTAACTCGATCCAGGGAGGTCACGTGACAAAAAACTCGATTCACCTACTTGTGTTCAACGTTTACGAACGTGTCAGGTTAGCAACACAGAATTTATTCTTTTTTCTGTGGTATCGTGAATTTGATAGACGAAAATGTTCGCAATATATTCAAGTACTTATTTGATATGGTTACACATTAGTTATTTTTGTATCTAGAGCGCGAAATGCTTCTTTGGAGATCGAGATCTGATTTTTTTAACGAGACGTAGCCGAGTTAAAAAAATAGTCGAGATGACCAGAGTATTTCGCGCTCGAGTTGCAAACAACATTTTTTCTACAAACGTCAAGAAATATAGTTCTAAAGTAAAAATATGCTTAGCTTGATATATAGAATAGTGTTGAACTGGCTTAAAAGGCCTCCCCTATCCTACCTAGGTACGCACGATGTTCCACGAACATAGTAGGAATTTCCTTTCGTGCGCGCCAAGAGATAAAACAAAGTTATTGTTAAATATTCAGAAATAAATGATTTCCTAGGTACTTCGCGCACTGTTTTACTCCACGAATTGTTTTGTGCAAGGTATCATGGTAACGTAGGAAACTGAAAAAAAGTGTCACTTCGCGATTTGTTGTAGGAAACTGAAAAAAAGTGTCACTTCGCGATTTGTTATCAATGCGCGAACATTGTCGTTTTTTGACGTTTGTAGAAAAATGTACTCTTTTTCAAACTATCTAGATTCAACGATTTTTGTGTTATTCGCTCTTGAAGAGATTCATTTTCCATTAATGACATTTCAATGATTTTATTTATCAAATTAAGAATGGGAAATCTCTGAACTACAGATAGTAAACACCCAAATATTAAAAATATTTCTGGTTTAAGAGATACAGGGTGATTAAGAAGAAGAATTTATTTCAAAATATCTTCTCCTTAACCACCCTGTATCTTTTGAACCAGCAACATTTTTATGAGGCATGTTGGGCTAAATATTTATATTTGGGTGTTAACTATCTGTAGTTCAGGGATTTCCAATTCTCAATTTGATAAATAAAATTATCAAAATGTTATAATTGGAACATAAATCTCTTCAAAAGCGAATAACACAAAAACCGTTGAAGTTAGAGAGTACATTTTTCATGTGAAATTGAACGAGCTTTCAGATTTCCCACTGATTTTGCTCATCAATGAATTGGCATAGATATTATGATGTAAATTATCGAAGTAACAGAGTGCCACTAGCGCCCTCTATGAGCAATCACAAAATAAGTTGCAAATTCATATTCCTCATGGCAGAAAACTAAGAAATACAAGATTTCATGTTTATGCTGTTAAAACTAACAAAGTTAATGTGAAATTTTGAAATAAAATCTCCCCCTAGAACACCCTGTATCTCCTAAACCAGCAACATTCTGATCAGGCATATTGGGCTGAATCCCATTATTTTTGTGTTTACGATCTGTAGTTCTGAGATTTCCCATTCCTAATGAGTATAATAAAATGACCACAGAATTCGTAGCACCTGGCAGTAACAAACAAATCACTCTCTGATGGTCTATGTTGACCAATTGCTGTAAATTCCCATGGTAGCGAACGTGCAAAATAATTTAAATAAATACTAAGTACTGAAAAATAAATGTCCAGGAATCCATCTGAAGGAAACTACCCCATCACATCCCCGAACCGTTTCCCGCCTTCTTTTAGCCCCCCTGTATACCTGATCGCAGTCTCTTCATCGTCTTTCCGTCAACCGACACGGCACCACTACAGTTTCTCCAGACCGGACATGTCGTGCGCTTGGCCCGCCAGTTCGCCGTAGGACTGCTCGAGGCAGTGCTTGAGCTCCGCGTAGGACACCACGAGGACGCTCTGCTCGTCCCTCGACACGAGGCTGATCTTCTCCGGCACGCCGACGTCGAGCTTGTTCAGGCAGTGGACGATGTGCGCCATGTCCAGCCAGGGCCCGCCCTCTTGCGTCACTTGGTGGAACACGTAGTCTCGGAACAGTTTCAGCATGTACCTGCGACACAGTTTAATCTGTTTACCGCGAAAGCCCACACACACAGACACAGTCATACTATTCTCTTCTTGTCACCCTTATTCTTATAAAGTGCTGCAATCAACTCTTTGATTCACAACAATGGTTTCCCTCCACATCTCATCAACCGTATCTACAATAGACATCTTTCAAAATCAATCAAGCAATCTATTAACAATTCTAAAAACCGTTTCTCGTCTATTCCATATTTAGGTAAGGTCTCCCATGATATTGTCAACATATTTCACAGATTCATCAATGACATTATTCATTTATTTATTTATTTATTGAACAAATAACTTCCAGACAGAATAGGCTCTGGTATAAGGAAGTACATAATTATATACCTATAGGTAAACATAGCATCATTCAAAATATATCAACAACTGTAAATTGGCAAACAAAGAATAATATTTGTAAAAAAAAAATGGCATGATTAATTGTATCCATAGACACCACATCTATATAGAACTCTCGTCAGATGAAATCCCAATTGTACACAAATCAGGAGTATACAAAGTCACTTGTTCGGAACCCAATTGCAGTGCTCATATATCGGCCAAAGTGGCAGAAGAATTATTACTAGAGTAACTGAGCACAAAAAACTTATTGAGAAATGTAGAATTCGGCACCTAGATGAATACAACACAAACAACTCCTTTGCTAATCATGTTTTGAATTCCCAACACAGTTTCAATATTGAAGGAAATTTGTAAGTTTTACACGTTTGTCAAAAAGGACGTTTACTAAATTTACCAGAGATCTTCGAGATCAACTCCTCATTGAAGGATAATAATTCCATTTCGGTTAATGCACAGGTAAACTTTGATTCAGATCCTTCCTTCTTTCTTGTTCCTCCATTGTTAATAACTTGTTTTTAACTCAACTAAAATTTTCTCATATGTAATTTTTTCACTCAACCAGTTTTGATCTTATCCCATGTCTGTTCGAAAAATAGTTCAATTGCACCATTTCACCTGTCATCTGTCCTGTTGACATATTGTCATCCGGAAGTTTGATTTTTCGATTTTTCAGTGACAGCTTACCTTTAGTTCACTCAAAAACCTCTTGAGGGTATCTTAGAGGGTACAGGACCCTCTCAAAATAAAAATACCTGTTTTTATATTATAATGTTACTATGTTTAACATTTAAATTTAATAAGATTCAACAACTTCAAAGAGCATTTTTCATCCTCATGTAAGTAATATTATCTATTACCATATTCCTGTTACAAGTTTAGATTTTTGTAGGACGTTATAAACCTTGGCTGATGATGGGCTTATTATAAGCCCGAAACATGTACCCTTTTGCAACATAACTTTGTTCACCTATTAAATGTTGTGGAGATGATTTTGAGATTTATTCTTCCTTCAAACAGTTTAATCTTCTAAAAAACAGTTAGGTTCCATCTATGTTCAAGTTCACCTATATTCACTTTTCCTTGGCACTAGTGTCCTCCCATTCCTCTCAAGAATGTATTTGTTCACTACCAATTGAACAGTATTGATGACCACAAAATATACAAATCAAAGTAAATTGGGATAAGTAGTCTCAATTTTCATTTCACTTGGTACTTGGTCACAACAACGACGGCCCGACAAACAACTAGCATGTTAAGAACCAAAATAAACACTGTGAAATATATGTTACTATAAAAGATGCGGACCTGCCAAGCAAGTAGAATAATTTGGCCCAGTGCTCAAGTTTAACGGGTACAACACAAGCGATAATTGACCAAAATGACACCAATCAAATCGCTGGCCTTTCTTTGTGGTGACGCAGTCTTCACGCAGCCTCCTTTCGCATCCATTGAAAACTTCATAAGGTTATCCTACTAGTTAGTCTTTACAGGGTGAGTCATGAGGAACTGTACATACTCCTATCATGAATAGAGGCCCCTGAGGGGAATACCAAATGTCCATCAGAAAGTATCTTCTTCACTTCTTTTCCAATACAGTGTGTCCCACTTTCCATGCTCACCATGGGTATCTTTTTAACGGTGAGGGATACGAGGTCGGTTAAATGACACCAAATGTGGAGTTTGTCAAGGCCAACTATAATGTGAAAAAATATTTTGATATAATCTATTCGTTTTTGTTTTATACGCAAAAAACAGATTTTGATCATTTTCATGTCTCCCCCGTAACTTCTTTATTTCTAAAAATATTCAAATAAGAATTTCACATTGTCATGGCAGTTTTTCAAAGTGATTTCGAAAAAAATATGAAATTTATACCAACTCTTCTAGAATTTGAGATATCACCATCAACTTTAGTTTTTCAAATGTAGGTCATAGCTCACTATGACTCAATTACAAATAACTTTTTTTTCTCTTACAGATGATATGTCGCAGTAATAGTTTTGTGTTGATAACAACGGAGTTATCGTCATTTATACAAAAACAAAAAATTATTCGGAAGCCGCCATCTTGAATTTATAAATTTTAACAAAAAAATCATGATCTCCGACCTCAAAACCCCCCACTTGTCAATTTTGAATGGAATCGGACCACAATACATTATGGAATTTTTGTTGAAATTAAAAAAAATGGCTGCTCCAAGATGGCGGACAAGATTTGGTCCGATTCCATTCAAAATTGATGAGTGGGGGTTCTTGAGGTCGGAGATCATGATTTTTTTTGTTAAAATTTATTAATTCAAGATGGCGGCTTCCGAATAATTGTTTGTTTTTGTATAAATTACGATAACTCCGTTGTTATCAACACAAAACTATTACTGCGACATATCATCTGTGAGAGAAAAAAAAGTTATTTGTAACTAAGTCATAGTGAGCTATGACCTACATTTGAAAAACTAAAGTTGATGGTGATATCTCAAATTCTAGAAGAGTTGGTATAAATTTCATATTCTTTTCGAAATCACTTTGAAAAACTGCCACGAGATTGTGAAATTCCTATTTGAATATTTTCATAAATAAAGAAATGACGGAGGAGACAAGAAAATGATCGTATTCTGTTTTTTGCGTATAAAACAAAAACGAATAGATTTTATCAAAATATTTTTTCACATTATAGTTGGCCTTGACAAACTCCACATTTGGTGTCATTTAACCGACCTCGTATCTCTCACCGTTAAAAAGATACCCATGGTGAGCATGGTAAGTGGGACACACTGTATATAGGGTGAATTATGAGATTTGGTCATACCTTTCCAACAGCTTCTTCGATTCGTCTGATTTTTTCATGGAATATTGCACTACTACTCTCTAATCGACTGACTTATTCAGAATCGGGAAAATCCAGGACCGTTCTTGAAAATTTTTGATAGTTTAGTTTATAGCAAGTTCATCCTGTATATCGTTTTTGTAAACTGACAGGGAATTTTCAAAGGTCACAAACAAAATATTCCAAATTTCCTCACACTTTCACTGCAGATTGAAAAAAACGATGAATTTTATGAAAAAAAAAGGAAAATTTGGCAAAAAATGTATTTATTTGGAAATTAATTCTTCGCAACCCATGAATTTTCCGAATAAAAGTGAGTCATTCTTAATTCTTCAACCTTGTTGGTAAATCATCAGTATTATTTTTCATCACAAATTAAAATCAAACAAATCTGGAAACATTTGATATAAGTAATATTATTTTCAAGCGAATACAGTTACATCACTGAAAAAAATGTAACCTAAAACAATATTGAAGTGGAAAAATATGTCGAAAATAGATACAACTAAAAATAATACTATCTTTCTAATTAAATTAAACCATGTGTGATGATATAAAGTTTTGGAGGAATAGTGTTACATTTCGAGTTATAACTTCATTGAAGAGAAGGATGGTTCGCATATAGTAATCACCTTTGCAAAAATGTTGCAAACTTAGATGGAACGGTCTTCCCAATTGATATGTCCCAAAATTTGATTCTTCCAGAGAGATACATGTCGCCATCTCTCGGCCGCTGAATGAAGCTCACATGTAACATTATTTTCCATAAAAGTATGCAAGATTTGAAAGCCATTTTGAAGAGAAACTCAGAAATGTGAAATTTTGAGTTGTAACTCTCTTCTTCCGGATGAACGATATTATAGTCAACAAAACCATCTCTGAATTCGAGGAAATTTTCTTGAATGTTCATAATAAACGGGCATTTTTAATTCTCATTCTCAAATTTCTTTCTGAAAACGGTCATTTGCCTCGTGGCAATGAATGCAATTCATTCCAATGATCAAATTGCAACTATCATATTAACATGAACTACAAACACTCTACTTAAAAAGGTAAAACTGCATTTATCATGATATTTATCATGAAGATATTCGACTAAAAAGTTTCAAATTTCACCTTCTTTTTCACCTGTCTTCTGGATGGCATTTAGAACAAATTTCCCTTCTTTTTTCATCATATTGGACAATTTATATATAATTCAACTATAAATATGATTTTCTTGAGATTAATCCATATTTAGTGAAAAGAAGGAAGAATATCATTCAAAATAATGGCGTGTGTAATGTCATTCGAAAGCAATCTATTGACATTTGACATCTCGTATTTTGATTGACTATTGATTAACTGGTCGTCATCTGGAATGCTTGTTCACTAAATATGAAAAACTCGCCATAAAAATCATATTTCCTGTTGAATTTTCTATATAAAAATGTGCCATCGAAGTACATCATGAGTATATAAAGTGTCCAATGACAAAATAAGAGCTAGTAGCTTCAAATGCCCCCAACACAAGGGGAGAAAGAAGGCGAAATTTCGAACTTTTTCTTGAAATTTCTCAATAAATAGTGGTTTGTTCACATTTTCATTATAAAATTCGGTTTATCAGACAAAAATACGTGAGTACCAAAAAAAATTTCCAAAAAAAAAACCATCGCATAATAAATGCAGTTTTACCATCAAAAATTACGGTTTCAAGTGTAACGATCCACTTGGGTGAAAAATCCAACAACAGAAAATTGAAAACACTCACTGGTTATTTTTTCAGGAAATAGGAATTCTCCAAGATAAATATAGGTAATTGTAACAAACGGCATGTCAATCAAAATAAAATACATATTCCACAATTTTCTTTCGAAAAATCTCACGATAAGTTCAAGTTCTGCGGGCCCTGTATAAGTAGGTGTGAAGTTTACCTTCACCACAATTTTTGCCAATATATTTAATTCGAATGGGTTGCTGTAGGTGGATATTTGTGTTTTATCCTGGTTTTTGCTTTAAAACTTCGTTTTTCCATAATAAAATCGAATGGGGTGCGAAGAAGGGCTCAGTTGACGACTGGCATCCTTTTTTAACCGGAAGCCCTTCAAAAAACAGCAAAATCGGCTCAATTATGATCTAAAACTAAAATCGAAATACGCGGTCGCCTTATAGCGCTATAAGCGCTTGTCATTTCGAGCCGCTGGTTAGGCCTTACTAAGTGACGTCACCCACAGAGCATGCAGGCCTTGTTGTATCGGTGGTAACGCCTCTATTCGTGGTAGGAGTATCTACAGTTCCTCATGACTCACCCTCTATACGATAATGAATAGTTGTTAAAAATTCTAATTTACCTGTCACCAGTTTCTGCCCAACTGCTCTCCAAGTTGAAATCAGGCCGCTCGTTGATGGTCGCCAGCTTGGTCATGATCCTGAAGAGGCGGCCGTTTTGCAGTTCCTTAGAGAGCTCGTGATCGAGAATCTCGATGTGGTTGTGCAAATTGTCCAGCTGAGTGTAGAACCGAGCGCCGATCATCGGCATCAGATCGGTGACGCTCCTCCTTAAGCCAATGAAATTGTATTTATAATGAGGTTTAATCACAGGACTCATAATCCTTATATCTTCGACTAGAATGCGTATCCAATATGGCAGACGAACAAATCATGCATCAGCTGCAACACTGTAAGTGAACTATAAACATTAGCGGCGTGTGATCGTGGTGAAATGTAAATGGACCCCAGTGGCGTATCTCGAAGTTAAGATGAATGTATTCGCGATAGAAAATAAGCGTACGCCACCTATTGAAGTTCTTGAAAGCTGTCAAAGCGGCCTGTTTACTTTGTCTTCATTGGGTCACATTTGTTTTTTGTTCGCGCTTATTGGTCATATCATCAAAACAAACCGCTGAGAAGTGTTCAAGTTGTTGCCGTCAGGTGGGGCAACGTGTTATTTTGTATTGCGAATTATGCGAATTTTCGAAAAATCAGCAGGGAGATTCTATTTCACGAATTGAGTCGAATCGGCCATCTTTATTCGATATTGGGTATTCTGTTTGTCGAATGAATCGTGTAAACTCGACTCGATTCCTCGACAGCTCAAGAGGAGTCGAGTCGATGCGTTTTGTCAATCTATCCTTATCTATCATCGAATGTTTCTTTTCTACATCCCAATTTGAGGTTGGATCATCTTGTTTATGTGAAAGCACAGCTTTGAAAGTGTGTAATCAACTTATTACTCCACAAAGATAATATACAGGGTGGTCCGTTTTTTAATACGGAAAATTTAACAGCGTATAGTACTCGTTGAAATAATAAATAAACTTCCTATGAACATATACTTTTAAACGCTTCGTTTTCGAGATATAGGGTGTTCAAGTTTCTTTAAAAAATCGATTATTTATTGATTTCTCAGAAATGCTATGACCGATTGTGATGAAATTCACATCTATTGTGGAAATATCAATGAGCTAACTTTTAGACCTATTACAGTTCATGAATGAGTTACATATTTTCAGGGGCGTGCATTTCAAAATACAATTTTTTTGCCCTCTTAGATTTCTTATCTAATAGCTTCGTTTCAGAAGGAAAAATAAAAACCAAACCTATGCATGTCTCTAAATTATTTGATTAAATAATGTTATAAAATCTTACAAGCGAGCTTTTTTCATGGAATGTTGAAAAATGAATGAAAAATAATTACCCGAAAAATTTGTATAATTATTACCTTCGCCACCCCAGATTCAGCCGCCACTGAATAGTTTTTATGAATAATTTTTATTCAATCTAATAAAGTTCAAAAAGTTTAGTATCTGTGAAATTTTTCGTTAATTTATCTACCGTTTCTAACTTTTGATTCGAAAAATATATTCAGAAGCGTATTTTTGACACCAATATCTCAAAAACGAAGCGTTTAAAAGTATATGTTCATAGGAAGTTTTTTTATTATTTCAACGAGTACTATATGCTGTTAAATTTTCCGTATTAAAAAACGGACCACCCTGTATAATTAATTCTCGATGTCGTTCAAACTCAGAGAAGCCCACTGGGAAAAACATTAATAACATTTTTAGAAAAGCACAGAACATAGTCACGGATGATTTTCAGAGTCTAAGGTCGTGAAATAAATGAAAAACTGTGAATCAGGCTAAGCCAAGTAAATTCATTGGGGCTTGGCGAGTGAACTCCTGAGAAACGGCATAAGCTAGCATCTTTGGTATGATCGAGTTGCATTAAACCTCAGTGCATAGAATATTTGAGATTCTGTATATTCCCTTCATACTTTGACCTAGTGCCTAGTGGGGTCTCAATGATTGTATCAGAAGACGAACCAATAACCTTTCAATCTAAATAGCTCAATAAATCCTTTTCCCGGTAAAGAAGGATTAGTTCGGTACCTACTTCTGTTTAATAGTTCTTGTCGTCGACTAATAAGTTTCAAATTTCTTTGTCTATCTTTAGCTGCTGCAATACCATCTCGAACAATTAGAATTATTTTTATTTTTGTCTTGGGATTGAACAAATTGAAATTCATAAAAACAATATGACCCCCATATGAAATTTGTGATGGCTTTGGGACTATGGCCTCGGTGCTCGTTTCATTGGATCAAAATCTCATCTGATTTCATAAAAATACCGACGATTTCCAAAGTCGAATTCGAGCGCGACTTGATCGAGAAATAGAATAGGAAATGAATTCGACTACGAGTTCATCATCGTATCGTACGACATTCGACAATCGTGAAACAGAATTCCCCTGCAGAAGATGACTTAACCTACATATAATAATTCTTGATGTCTGCAGCTACCTCCCCATCATTCAACCTAAGATACAGACGTCAAGAAATGCAAATATAGCATCATTGGTATTTCTCGAGGTTTGAAAGCTATATTGGTCAGTACTGAGGATACCGTGTTTGCTTAAAAACGATACCATTCTTTTTTTAACTAATCTTTCGATTACTTTCGCTAACGCAGGAAGCAAAGCAATCGGTCTAAAGTTTGATGGACAGTCAAGGTCACCATGGAATGATATTTTCTATTTTTAAACAGCTAGGAAAAACGCCAACTGAGAATGAGTGGTTTATCGCTTCTGCCAAAACTTGTAACAAGGAGGGTGGCAAATTGAGCAGTAAGTTCACTGAAATATCATTCTATCCAGACGAGTTTTTGCTTTTATTATCGGCGATGGTTTCTCTAAGCTCAGTGGCGTCTGTGGCAGCAGAATAAAAACTTACGGGTACGGAAATATGGTCTAAATTAATTAGCAATGGATGCTACAGCAATTATATCAACAGACTGGAATTCAACCTAGTCTCTAATCCCTCATATATTTGGAAACATATCAAGGATATGAGAAAGAACAATGAATATCCTATGCACACTTATTATAACAATGAATTTAGTAATGATGGTAATAATACTGCTAAGTTATTTGCCAAGTTCTTCCCATCAGTATATTCTGATACCCAAACTGAAATACCAAATTACAATTTTACTAGAACCATGGAACTTCATAAATTCACGATATCAATTTTAGATATCTTCAATGCAATAGGTCAGCTGAAACCCAAGTTATCTTATGGTCCTGATGGTATACCAGGTATAATTTTGAAAAAATGTGTATACACTTTAACCAGACCTATTTTTATACTGTTCAGCCTATCTTTAAATACTGCCGTTTTTCCCCAGTATTGGAAAAATACTTTCATAACACCAATATACAAAACTGGAGATAAAGAAAATATTTCAAATTATCGGGGTGTTGCAATCCAATCTGAGATACCCAAATTGTTTGATAAACTCATTTCCGTACAGCTAAAGTGGTCCTCTAGACATATCATTATTCCAGAACAGCATGGCTTCCACTCGGGAAGATCGACAGTTACAAATTTGATGATATATCAATCTAATATTTTAAATGCATTTGAAAATCGTGTTCAGGTTGATAGTGTATACACTGATTTCACAAAAGCTTTTGATAGAGTTGAACACACATTATTAATTGCTAAGTTGAAAGCACTTGGAATTGGCAGTCAAGCCCTAACATGGATAAATAGCTTTCTGATTGAAAGAGTTCAATGTGTTAGAATTAATAACTTCATTTCAAATGCTATTGAGGTTTCTTCTGGTGTCCCTCAAGGTTCCCATTGTGGTCCAATTCTGTTCAGCCTGTTTGTCAATGATTTAAATGAAGTGTTACAAAATTCAAAATATTTGGTGTTTGCTGACGATGTAAAAATCTACAAAACAATATCAAATATCAATCATTGCAATGAGCTTCAGAATGACATTGAAAATTTTTGTAATTGGGCTGATCTTAATGCACTGTGTCTGAACGTCAACAAGTGTTTCTGCATAACATTCTCTAGATCCAACTCTCCACTTACATTTGATTATAAAATAAAAGATGAATCGTTGCATCGCGTCGCTGAAATCAAAGACTTAGGCATTTTGATTGATAATGAAATGACCTTTAAACAACATATTTTGAAAGTAGCTACTATTGGCTATAGAAATCTCGGATTTGTTATGAGAAACACAAAGGATATGTCAGTTAATAGTTTAAAATTATTATACTGTGCACTTGTTAGGTCAGGCTTAGAATATGCTTCTGTGATATGGTGTCCTAACTACAGTGTTGATATCGGGACAATTGAAGGAATACAGAGAAAATTCCTCAGGCATTATGCATTCAGACTGGGAATGAATTGGAATCATGATTATGACAACATTCAAAATAGCACAGGTTTGGAAACTTTAGAAAAACGTAGGTTCAACACAGACTTGCTCTTTTTATATAAATTGTTGAATGGTATCATTGACTGTCCCGAACTTGTATCCGAAATTCAGCTAAGTACAAACAGTAGGACTAGAAGCAAAGCACTATTTTACATTAACCATCATTCCACAAATTATGGCATGCATAGCCCTCTCTCAAGGATACCAAGGGAATACAATAATAATTGTATACATTTTGACATTTTCAGTAATTCGTTTCAGTTATTCAAGAAGTCATTGATTACCATTAATAGTACCCCTTTATAAGCAGCTGTGTTTGATTACTGTGATATAGATTCATAATGATCTAGGATATATAGCAACTGTGAGTGATAACTGTGATAGATTCATACTGATTAGGATATTCTCTTGTTATTTATGTTTATTTGTATTTGTTGAATATTTACATAGGTATATATTTTTTCCCATCTTGTAATAATATTTGGATTATAATGTATGCAATGGATAACCGTAAATAAAGTTCTATTCGCAGGTAATATCCCAAGACCATGACAAATAGCCGACTATTATTTTCGTCATAATTCTATCGAGAGTACCTTGTATTTTGACAATTTGATGAGACCATATGAACATTAATAATCTGAATAACTCCCGAGAGCTTTAGCTCGAGGGAGTTATTCTATGATTATTTATGTTCATATGGTCGAATTGAATTGTCCTAAAATACCAGTTACTCGAGATGAATTAACGAAAATAATAGTCTCCATTTGTCATGGTCGAGTGATATTCAGGAAGATTATTTCATGAACAGTGCAAAAATACTGGTTTAAATGAGTTTCAACATTTTATTCAAGTTAAAATACTGCAAATACTATTTGAATGAAAAAACCTCTGAAGGCCGTCTCGGTTATTCTCATCATATCTATACGTACAAGTGTAATCAATTCATCTAAAGTTAGAGCAAAGAAATAATATTAACGCTATTGATAGCGTTAATATTCTTTGATCAAAGCTTCTGTACTTTCCTTTCTTGTTTGAGGAAAATATTGTAGGCTTCGCCTTTTTGCTTTATGCGCAACCCTGGCACCTTTGAATTCGATATATTCAAATGGATTTGTCTTACCTTTATGTTCATTGAAGTAACCTTCCTGTACATAGTTTTCCATATCAATTTCAACTGTGTATTCCTTATATTCCTCACCATTCTCCTCACCCAATCTTTTAGGATTTGGGCAATCACGAGAGATGGCGTAGTCCGAGGCGTAGTCGCACAAAATTCATAGTTTTTCTGCCGTCAAAAAAACATGAATTGTTCCAGACATACTATTTACTCTCCTTGTTATTTTCTGATATCGATTTGCTCACATAATCACGAATTTCCGTAGTGGAAGTTGACCCAAAACGAGACATCTTAATTTTTGAGTGACTGATAGGTATGTCAAAGTTTGACAACCATAGCACTCTTATGCTAGCGAACAGAATAGCCGCTCATATTGTTTGTTTACCTAAATAGCCGCTGATATCGCATATCATGTGACTTCAATCATGACATTTCATAGGTCCAGCCGGGTGTGAATGAAATAATCTATTCTATTCTAAATACTGGGGTCAACCGAGGGGGATAACTTCTCAGTAAGATTATCCGCTACAGAGCAGTAGAACTCATTCAGATCATCCGGGTTCACATTCGGTTTCAGTGCATTAGAGTTGTTTTTTTCCTCTCAAGTCATTGACTATTTCCAGCATTCTTTCTGTTTGTTGCTTGAACGATTAATTCTAGAGTTGTAATATACAGATTTGGCTGTTTTGATCAATTATTGTCTATGTTTCGGTATTTGTTGAAATAGTTAAGGGAATATTATTCATTGCAAATTTTCTTATTGTGTGAAGTGACCGCATGTTTTTTCCAGAGATTCTCAGCCCTAATGTGACCAATGGCTTCTGCTTTTTACGCTTGATCGCCACGATAGGAAAGGAAAGGACCAATCCGACAATGGGGTTTCGAAATGATTCGTAAACTTCAGAGTCTCATGCACCACCTACCTTTGCTGCGTCGCCAGCAGGTACATGATGAGATTGCGCAGGTCGGCCGTGTACGACCTGCTGACGATGTCGAGCGCCGTCGACATGTTCTCGCGCTGCACGGCCATCGTGCTCTTGCAGGCCAGGGCGAGCACGAGCTTGCCGAGCGCGGAGAGGTCCTCCTGCTGGTAGTGCTGCACGAGGGCCAGCTGGTTGATCGACGAGTTCGTTTCCTGCAGGACGACGTCCATCACGCCCAGGCAGCTCAGTCTTAACCTGCGAACGAGAGCGACGGAATCGAATACCTATAGTGCTCCAAGAAACAAGTTGATTACTAAAATTTTAGACGTTTTTCAATCGGAATGCGATATTCAAAAGATGCGTCTTTTCTGTTTAAGAGTTATTGTTCAAAACGTATCCAAGTTTTCCAGTTATAACATACCAAGTGGTCAAAAATAGTTTTACATATTAGAAAAAGATTAGGAGTTTCCGTATTCACCATGAATATTATCATTCCTCTGTAAATCATCTTTCTCAAATCCTCAAGTCGATAGCTCGAAATAGTTTTGGAATTTCCGGCAAGATGTGAAATATCGATGTTTTTCAATATTCTGTTATTTTCCGCATTTCTGCGGATTCACAAAAGTCCAGGCGATATACCAACTATAGTTCACTGTAATACGATCAAATTCATTCCTGGAGAAGATCCATACGGCTTTGAGCAGCAGAAATTTCGGCAACAAAATAATCGTTTTTCTAATAATGTGTGAAATTTTGTGATATCTGCTTTGTATATTGATGCTGCTACAATCACATGCTTGTGACATTATGAATCCTTCATTATCAGATAGATTACCCCACTCAACATCTCGGAACAATTTCGTCATTTTCTAGATAGGTAAATTCCAGGCGCCGCCAGGGGTCTCTTATGGACGATTCAGTACTATACTTAATCAATTGAAAAAAAAACGGTGATTTCCAAACATTCCTGAGTTGGTATGAAACTATGAAATCATCAAAGTACATGTTTTTTTCATCAATTTCTTTCGATTCACCCAGTATTTCTCCATGGAATGTATGAACATTATATATTTTTGAAATCAGCAAAAAGCACTCACATAGGGGTGTTCCATTTGAAAAACATTTTTCACACCCTTCGTATATGGAGTTGAGATCTAATGTTTGGAGAGTATCATTCGAAAGTGAAGAACTTCCGATACAAGATTTTGTTTCAAAGTTTCCAATATCTTATTCCGTTTTCGAGATATTGAGTGTTGAAAGCGTGAAAACCATAGTCAATCACCCTGTACAAAATTTATTTATTTATTTTCAAGTGATGAAGGTAACATGCACTATTACAGTGGTTTCTCGGTTTCATAACAACTCAGGAATGTCTAGAAATCACCGGTCCTTTTACGTATAGTACTGAATAATCCAAAATTGCCCCTTTGACTTGTTGAATGGGATAGTCCATTTGAATAAGGATTAATAATTTCACAAGCACGTGATTTTAGCAGCATCAATACAAAGAGAAGACTTCATAAGAGTTCGCATTCTGAAAATTTGAAACAATTTCAGGATGCACTTTCTTATTCTTACTGAATACTGTCACATACATCGTATTGACCGTTGAAATATTCCCCCCCTTTGCCGATATCATTGAACTCTATGGTGTATTTTCACCGGCCACATTAAAAAACAAAACGTAGTCGATTTAATTTTGGTATTCAAAAAGGAAACTTCACAATGGCCATTCGAAATTTTGAAAAAGTCAACTTCAGCACCCTGTATAATCCAAACTATTGAATTTAGAGCGTTGATAATTTGGATATCTGATCAGCATCACGAGTTCTACGATATATCCAAAATTCGAGAAAATTCACCGAAAGCCAATTTCCCGGCCCCTATTGCGGTGCGGGGTCCTTTAGAGTGGGAGGAGACGAGGATCTGTCTGTACCTAATTAAGATGACAAATACGTCACTTTGCATCAAGGGACCCTAATCGCATCCAAATTGTTCGTCTACGAACGTTTCTAGGCAATTGTTCTATCCGTCATTCGGTTGCCCCCTTACGAGAAACCCTCAGAAGTCTGCAAGAGACTTGTGCGAGCAAGAAATAACGGGGGCCTTACCTTTTAACGTGTGATCCCAAACACTTTCTTAGGCCATCACACCGGCAAACGAACGCGGATTAGAATACAGACGTTTCTACCACGAGGCTACGTGCAGAATGATCCAATCTATCGTTCATGACATCGACTTATCATGTCACTTGGTGTGCATGCCCAATGGAATCCAGTTCGATCATGTAAATGGATGAGCTCATGTCGGAACAGATGATTATTGGAACGACCCATCTCGAATCCCAATAAAGGAACACTATCAAAGTACCCACAAAATGGCGTATCATTTAGCTAACCGATATCCTTTATTAATTAAAGAATAACTAATGACATTCTCGGGCATTAGTGGCTAGATAGCAGGGTGATCAAGCATTTTTTGTAACTCAAATGCCTAACTAACGTACAATTTGAAGTGTATGATCAAGAATATAGAAGATTCAAAAAACTTCATCTGCGATGCGGTTTTTGAGGCTGTTGTCACAGCTTTTCAATTTTTCAAATATGGCAATTTGAACAAACGAAGAGCAGGAACAAGGAAAATCCTTAATAAAAAAGAGGACAACGTTACACCATCAGAAAACACTCAATAAAAATACTTTGGGCCTTGCATACATATTAATCTCAAATAATAAATTGTATAACAAAAATTGAAAAGAATTTGCTTGATGAATCTGAATTACGATTGCTCATGCGGAATTGAATTCTTTTTGGAATTCATGCAGATGAATAAGCTAGATATCAGTTCAAGCTGAAGATGATGAACCAATATTCAAAGCCAAAAATCAAGAATCTGGAGTACTGGTTCTGGTGGTACACGTTTGCACGTCAGCAACTAGTCCCTAATGGGACCTTTTTGCAAGCCTCAAGGTGTTTTCAATGACTGATGTGGTTCGCTTAAGAGAGCTGGCTAACATCCTTTTCAGGCACCGCCTATCAGCTCTCTTTCAGAGTTTTTCGGCTGTTTTGTAGGCTAGTAATGTACTCACTACCATATGCTGCAGTGGCAGGCCTGCTAGCTATTCTCGTTAACCCCCGTTAGAGACCGAGGTCCACTAAGCAGCTGGCCCGCTCTCACGCTCAGCTGGTAGTTTTCCACACCCACCTACATACACCGTCCTACTTCTCCTCTGATGCCCGCAACCACATCATCATCTCTTTCTGCGTGTTCTGTGTAGGCTTTGTTACTAACTATATGCGCCACTTTAGGAGCAGCACTGTCAATTTTAACGCAACAGCGAATCGATGCTCCGAAACTTTACCATATTTAATTCATAAATGAAATATTGAAGAAAGTTCCTTCTCGTGCTGGGAATCAAACCCACGACCTTGCGGTCGTGAGACGGACGCTCTTCCACTGCGCCAATCTCTGCTCTAAGAGAATCTGGAGTAAATGAAATGAAATGAAATCGAGGAAAACCTGAAATTTGTTATTTTATATTTTGACAGATATCCAAAGGCCGAATGAGGTTCTCAATCGCCCGGACCGATTTGTCTTCTTGATCTGCCCCTGCTAGATAGTAGGTTATTTCCTGAGGTTAATTCTGTTGGATATATTCACTCATTCAGTGACATAAACCACTATCTAGACCGCCAATTCCATAATAAAGATCATGAATCATGCGCATTTGAAACCTGTCATATATCTTATTCACTCTTACTTATGTTTCTGAACACCATAAAACATGACTCGATGTAATGAACGACAGTTTGAGAGTTCCTGGGGAGCGTTCGAATACGTACTATGTGGAGTAGAGTTTACTCATTTGCATTCGAAATTTGTTAGATTGTGTATCTTTTACTCCGTGACTTTCGTTCGTAAATGCTGGAGTTCTTGACGTCGAGTTAATTTTTGTAACTCCACAAAATAGATGGATAAATTTTACTCCACAGATTTGACCAACTTATTACAGGGCGAACAAGGGTGAAGAAGTTTGTTTTGTATGTTTTAATAGGGCCATTGGCAATTTATGATTGTTTTTATATCTTCAGAGCATTCAAACTTCATATTTCGATGTTGAAAAACATCATGAAATCTTCAGAAAGTGAAACACTAAGGTTCAGTTATGTGTACTGTTCGGTTCTGATAACAAAATATTCAATTACCAATTCAACCATATATGTATATTATAGCCAGTACCCAAGACCTGGTTTCAATATTGATAAGTGGCCATCACATTATTTAATTGTAACTGGAATATAAGATTTACCTGCTCCTTTATGAATTGAACCTGAACTAACTGAACTATAATTGTCAACTTGACAAACATGTTCATGTCAATTTCAGATGTCAATAAACTAACTCAAAATTCCGTTTGAATACCAAAACTGAGAGTAAAACTTGCAACTAAGTTTACTCTACTCTGAAAGCCAAGGGTTAATAACTCTGTAAAATGGTGGAACACATTGAAACACTGTGAAATACTTTGAAATGCATGTGAAATACTTTGAAATGCCAGAAAATTTTTGAAATACTGTTCAAGTAATCTTTTCTGAAGCTTCGTTATTTCAAGTAAGTACATACAAGAATAATGTTTATTTAATTTTTAATGTTTTACTTCTATCAATTACCTACCTACGTAATTAGTAAATAACGAGGTAAATAACTATTAGTTGGCAAAAACTACAATTTTGAGACAAAATCTACCGCTTAATCTCTAAATCCACCGCTATTTTACTTCTACCGCTCATCTTATTTGTAACTTGGCAACACTGGCGAAGACGTACTATAAACGACTGAATCACTCTTTCTAGCTTTGTTGCCAGTCACATGCGCTATATGTTACGATTGGGCAAACGATCTCTAATTGTTCGTATTTCTATTTACACGCTTTTATTGAACTCACACCTCGACTTACACACGTCAAAACTTGGCAGGTGTTTACAATTCGGGTGATAATCTACATGACAATTATTCAACAGGTTTTAGAAATTATGGAGTTTTATGACTGCTAGTAAATAGCAATTCAATGAGTATTCAGCAAGATTTGATGATGAGAACTCGTCGTGCGCTACGCCGCTACTCAGAATTACTTTCAGAACTACGCTTTAATGTTTTTACATTATTTTCACATTTATGTATCGAGAATAACAGTTTTCAGAAATTAGCGCCGAACGATAGCTTGTAAATGGAAATTCATTGATTTTTGTGCTAAATACAATTTCGTAAAAGTCATCCAGCGCTAGTCTCTTGACAAGTTAACAACTTCGCATAAATTATTTACACATGGAGAATCTTTTTTCTAAATTAGCCCCTTATGACTGCTAGTAAATGGAATTTCATTGGTTTTCTGCAAAGTGCACTGGGATAATTTTGTAGAACTCGTCGAGCGTTACTCGGAACTCTCTTCAGAAGTCAGCTACGTTTCTTTTTATTTTTGGATAAAAAAAATCAATGACTCAATTCACCAGAACTTCTCCTGAAATGTATCAAAACCTACAGAAATATTCCCAACCCATGAAGAAACAATATCAGAACTGATTTATTTAATAAAAACCGCGCTACGTGAAATTATCAACTATATTTTATTTCTTTGATTTACATTCACGATTGATTGATAGCCATTTTCCGATATTTTCGTTAGCTGAGCTGAGCGAAACAAGAAGCTGGACTAATCAAGATCGAGCAAATTTATTTAACGTTACTGGCGCTAAAAAAATGTAATTTGTTGACAACTACCTCGAAAATTAATATTGTGTTGTTGTGTTTTCATGCTGTTCGGAATATGGAATAACTTCCTGTGATTTCGTGAAATTAAGCATTGAAATGTCTTTGAAATACTTTGGAATTCCTGTGAAATTCTTTGAAATGCTTGTGAAATACTTTGAAACGTCTGTGAAATACTTTGAAACGTCTGTGAAATACTTTGAAATGTCTGTGAAATTCTTTGAAATGTCTGTGAAATTCTTTGAAATGCCTGTAAAATTCGTTGAAGAGCCTGTGAAATTGTTTGGGATACCTGTAAAATACCTTGGAATATTGTGAAATACTTCGAAATACTGTGAAATACTTAGAAATGCTGTGAAATACTTTTCAGGCGAGCAATATACCAGAGATTTTTGGGTTGCTGATGGAATATGACATATAGCAATCTAGCTAGATAGTAGTTATGTCAGACGATATATTAGATGGTGAAATAACTCCCTCTTATAAAACCCTCTTGCAAAATATTTATCTACTCAACGGAATTTAATTGAATTGTGAACACCACATAAACAGAAATGGAGTTGTTAGCTATTCGTCACAGACGGGTATAAAAGTCAGAACTGGTTTTACAGATTCATTCAAACCAGTGAACCCTTATTATAGCATTCTGTGGAGTTCTACTTCTTTCGAAAAAAAAAAAAAGATTTTTGAATGTTTAGACCATCTTCCAACCATCATGCCCCCAACCAAACTAGTGCCACTACAGGTGATCAATATAGGACATGACCTGATAACAAAACAGGGGCGGGCCCAGGCGATGTTTGAGCATGGTGGGGAGAAAAAGTCATGGCTCATTGAGGTCAGCAACAAAGGCATTTTTATTCCTACCTTCTGATGTGGTATTCAGAATACCTACATTTCAACATATTCATGAGGTTCACGAGAGGGGGGCCATGTCCCCTGCATCCGCCCCTGTATCAAAATGAGTATTAAAATGTCACTTTTGAGCCAGAAAATATGTATTTTTCTGTGACGGTAAAAAAGTTTGGCATTTCATCTCTGTTGGCAGGTTATAAAATGTCACCTTTCATAAATTAACCGATGGGAAAAAAGTGAGTACTTTTTTTTCCGGATATATATATACCCTGTTGATGGCTTTTGTGTGCTATAGTTCCGAAAAATGAGTCATTAATACCGTCTCCGAGAAAGAACTGCAAGTCCTTTTATCTTTCATTGGACTTCTGACAACCACTAAATTCGCAATTTTTTGAAATCAAATCACAGAATTTCAGATATTTGATTACTTCAAAAGAATGATATAGATGCCTACAACGCAGGTGTCCCTACTTTTAAAAATTTAAAATTTCACATTGATAATTTTCAGATTTCAAAATAATGTAATATCTTCTCAATATTGATTTGTCCTTTCTTCTGTCACAAAAAAAATAGTGTACAAAGAGACAACACAACCTGGAGCTAAAATCTACTACTTTTTTCCCTTGTATTTATATGAGTTCACAAATCCCTATCAGTTGCCTAGGTATTTTATTAGTTGACAGTGAGATAATACAGTACACATAGTGTACACAATATTGCCAAGAAAATTCAAAATAATGTATTAATACTTAATGAATAGTATATAATAAGCACAGAGTCATTTCCCATGAGAATGAAGCATGAGACATCAGCAAATGCATTCCATGCAAGTCATACACTATACTTTTTCTATGGTTCTAACAGATAACAGTGAATTTTTTTGTTGCTTTGGCTTGTAGCCATCTGATCTCTCATCTGATTTTCTCTTAAGTAATGCTCATCTATTAGACAGAGCTGTTATTGCTTGAAATTTGACATTTCATGACAGATGAGATTGTGATATCAGATACAGAAATGAAATGGTTGATATACAAAGTACCTCATTGATTTATCAAACACAAGTAAAACAAGAGCAATTTTGTGCTATAGCCTTAGAAAAAGTATGATATTATTACCTATTTCGAGAGTTGATGATGATTTTTGTTGGATCCAAACTTCTGCAAGCCAAAGCATTGGTATGGATAATTCTGAGTGCAGAGGTCAACTGAATGATATAGTTCCAAATGAGTGGCTCAGGCAGTTTGTTATTCTGTGTGTGTCTCAGTATATTGTTTTTTTGATAGCTGTAAGGTCGAGGTGTAGAAGTATCATTAATGAAAGGATCACAATAACCAGCTTGGTCTGGAGAGAAATGTTTGTTCAAGAGAGTCTCTGACCCTGGATGGTAATCATAGACAAATATCATTGAGTTATCACTGAATGCTTTTGTAGTAAACACTTCTTTCAACTGGACTATATTGGAATGACTAAGTTTTTTCCACAGCTCAACAAATGCCATGCATTTTGTATTGGACAGACGAAAACCATGGATTCTTCTCAAACAAAAGTGTGCACCTGTTTTTATATGGGTTGCTTTGTACATTGATGCTTGGTAGCCCATATGAGCTTTGTGCAAAGTATTGGATATGGGTTCAAGTGGGACAAGATCATGATAGCTATCAACTTCTTGGGGAAGATCAGGAAATTGCTGTGGATCAGGTTGCATAAGAGTTAACACATTTCGATTTAGAATATCATTTCTGAGGTCCTCAGACATAAAATAAGAAGGCTCCTTTTTTACAGAAAATACACTAAACTCAGGTAAAGCAGGTGGCAGAGTAGTGTTCAAGGTGGTTTCATTTTGCTGACAGTTTTCTGGTGGAGATTGGTACTGATAGAAATATGTGGTACCTCCAACATTTTCTTGGTAAGCAGGTATTGCTGGACTGCTATTCAGTTTATCTGAATGTATTATAGCTGAGCTGTTTAGAAGAGGTGAGCCATTACTATGTGGAGAGTTGCTGACAAGAGATGAGTTGTTGATGAGGGGTGAGCTATTCACAAGGGGTGGGGAGACGGATTCTGGGGTAACGCGGGTTGATAAATCACTATCATCGAACTTTTTGGTGATTGGATGAACAGCAGGAGAGTTGGGTATTGAAGAAACTGAATTCAAGAAATTCGGTGAAGCTGATGCTCTGGAAGCCACGACCCGAGGCACAAATTCACTTGCTTGAGCTGAAAAACAAGTCACAGTTATCCTGAATACTCACAAATATATCATTCATTTCATTACTTGCTCTTGCCAAATCTAATCGAGACGAGAAGGAACGGGAATGATTTTGAGGCATCCAATCCATTAGTTAATTTGTATGTGGTAATCTTGGTGGTCACTAATTTTTATCACTTAAAATCTTGATAAAACTGCCTCTAATTCTTCTACATATGCTCAAAAAATAAATGCTCTGACGAACCACAAAGAAAAAACATATTGTACTCCATTTCCAGAGAAATTTGCCTTGATTTGCGAATTGCGACCCTAAAGACAGTATATTGACATTGACAGATCCTTGATTTCTTTTGTGTAGGTTTGTTCAAATCATTAGTTCCGTTGTAGTATAATATGGACCTAGTGCACTCCGAGTCAAACCGTCTTTGAAAATCAGCTGATTTTCATTAGAGTCACTGGATAGTTATGTCGCTGGAAAAGCGATCTTTTTTCGATGTCATCAATGACGGCAAAATATCTAGACTGTCTGACGGGTTAGATATTTAGCCGTCATTGCTGTCATGACACAATCACGCAGCTTGCGGGATTTTTCATACATGAATTAAGTTATCAAATCCAAACAATTTTTAATGAAAAAGCGCGAAACGACTATGATATGCTGTTATCACAATGCAAGGTGTGTAACTTGATTAATCTAAACTGAGAATTTAAACATTCAAAAACACTAACAGTTGTCATTTTTGTGTCGAAACTCTTATCTAAAATACCATATATCTACTATTTCTACTGAGTAGTAGATATATGTAAAATACCATCCAGTGACTCTAGTTGGTCGCACATTCCAATCAAATATCATAAATTTGCACACAGACTTTTATCAGTTTATCATTATCAGTTTTATCTCCGCCGCCTTTGGTAGATGCCTAGCAGCCTATATGGCAATGGGACACTTAGAGTAGAGGCCTCTACTAGTTTGTTCATATTTCCACGATGGCTTGTTCCAATATTATTAATAAAAAGAAAGAAGAGTTTAGATTAAGGTTAGCGTTAGAATTCGCATTTGTCATTTTTCTATTTTCTCTTGTGTTTCAGATAAATGGAAATATTGGAACATTGAAACTTGATAAATATTCATCAAACATTCAGAGAATCTCTGAACGCATTTCTCCCAACTGGCGATGAGTAAATTGGAGGAGAAAATATTAAAAGCTCTTGAGACGATTGGGTAAAATCTTCTAAAATCATTCATACACTCACAGCAGTAATGTTTTTATATTGTACAGGTACAATGGTCTGCTGCTTCAGAAACCCAACTTTCCTATAGCGGTAGAAGGAGGTTCAAAAAATGTTGAATACACTAAACTGGTCAAGTTCCTCACAAATGAAATCCGCACTTTGCTTGGTATAGATGAAGAAGTTAATGCTATAACAACACCAGAAGATAGTGTGGCATTTATAATGGAAATAACTTCATTTCTGAAGGAACTGAGTATGTACTGATAGGAAATAATTATTGACAAATTAATAGAAAATACTATTAGGCAAAAAATCCAGCAAAAAATATTGAACTGGTTGTATGGTACAAATCAATTATAAATTACAGAATGATACAATTGTTGCAGATTGTCCATACCAATCACTCACCCATGGTCATGTATCTGAACGTTTACAACATGTATCAGATAGACTATTACTGCTAGATTATTTATTAACTGAATTGATGAGTGCACGAATCTTACAAGAAAAAAAGCCAGATAAGAAAATTGAACTCAAATTGGTAAGTTTCATTTGAACTATACATTTTGTACACTTATCACCAAAAATCTTAATGAAAAGATATGCATGAAATGAATCACTTTTCTGCAATTATTTGATATTCTAGCAAGAGACTTCAGAGGGAAAGGATATGAGGTTGATACTACAAACATTACGTTTTCCAAAACCACCAGCCAACATATCCATTCCAACACTATTTCAAAAACTCATACCAACAATTCCAATTGTATTGAAAAAAGCTGGAGCTGATATAATTGGAAATGGCATTTTCAATGTTTCACTCCCTGACAAGCAATGGGAAATCTTGAATGGGGTACAAGATGACCTGAACAAAGATTATAAAATCAGACGTGAGATGCTTCTGACAAGATTAGATGTAACTATTCAGTCCTTCCAGGTAATATTCTCCACATAACATCACATCATTGGTGAAGCTTCCTACTCTTCTTGTAGTGGTCTGATAAAACTAAAGGTAAAGAGGATTTGTTTGAGAAAATTTACTATGACAAGAGGAAACTTCTCAAAGTAGAGCCTGATATTGATATATCTGATCTGTTGGCTGCAAGAACAGATATTGCCATCATTGAAAAAACTAGCAGTTCATCAGTAAGGAGGAATACCAGGACTCAACTGAATAAAGTCATTATTGGCCAAGTAAGTTTGGATTAGATATTTACTCAGTTGAAAAACCCTGTCATCATTTAAAAGTATCAACTCAATGAGGGCTAACATACTCTAACCAGTGGGCACTACTAAAATGTGAAGTCAATGTCAAAGTCAAAAATTCCAAAATTTTGCTAGATAGCTCTGAAGTCTATGACCTGTTTTATGGAAAAAATATTTGAACAAATTGGAAACCTCAAGTTAGCCAAAGACTTGACCAGACTCATGTTATTTTACCAATGTGGAAATTAACAACCAATTCTTATATTGATGGAGAAGAAGATATCATACAAGGGTCCAAATGACAGGAAAATAAGTGTATTTACCAGTTCTACCAAATCTAAACCTCAATGAATAATGTTAGCCCTCAATGTGTTTACATATTCATGAAATAGTTTTGATTATTATTTATGATATATGCACTTGTCTGAATTGCCCTTATTTCTAATATTTTGACAGCTATTGATTGGGCCTGCATTCATGATACACTAACTACTGATATAACTTTTCATTGCTTTTCATACAATAATGAATAGAATACAGTGCCCATCTGAAGTCTGTTCCCCCCTTTAATTTTTGAACCACCTGGTATATCTCAACGAAATTTGGAGGGCTTAAACAGGAGATGAAAACCTAATTTTTCATGAAAAAACGACAGCTTAAAGTTTTCAAATGGCTGTTAAGCAACATCTTGAATTAGTTTTTCTAATAGTCCATATATTCCATTTTCCAGATCTTCCCTCAATTGAAAACTGTACTAGATGTTGGTCAGCTTGTAAATATCTATTATGCACAAATTGAATCTTGTCTTCCTTATGGCATCTGCTAGTGGGGCATCTCTACCAAGACAAAAGATGTTTTCATTGCACAAAAGAAAATTATGAGGTGCATTTATAACATTCCTTGTAGAGAAACCTGCAAACTAATTTTTCAATCCATGTTACTGGATTTGACTCTCGCTAGTTTATACATATTTGTGATTGCATGTTATATTTATTGCAAAATAACCTATTTCAAGCCTAATAGAGACATTCATAACATGAATGCATGCCAGAAAGTAGCCCAAAATGCACCTAACTTTATAGGACCATGTATTTTCAATCATTTATCTGAGCATGAAAACGCGCCTCAAAATATTTTTGGTGCAAAATTCTTTTTATACTGTGCAAGATTTTTTGGATTGTCCAGTACAGTGATTTTTTTGGTAGTGTATTTCGTTTTTGTGTATTGTGTGTTTTATGTATTTTTCAAGAATTTTGACGTTTCTGACACAATGTTATTATTGCCTACAGGAATAAAGATTTGATTGATTGATAACATTTTCTGTCTCAAGGCGTTAGTTGAGCGTGAGGTCAACGTCAAAGTCAAAAAATCTTAAAAAACATGTAAAGTGTACACTTGCATTTTCTCACTCTCAATGTGGAACTTAACGACCAATTCTCACATTGGCGGAGAATTAAGCTCTTTCCTACCTTGAACGAGAAAGAGGAAAGTTTTCTCCTCTTCCATCTTTCTTTTCAATGCTACCAACGTGGCCGCATTGAAATATAGAGAGGTCCGATAAATCTTTCTATGTCTTAACATATACTTTGTGCCACTGAAGTATTTTTGAATTCAGCAGAGTGTCTAATTTAACGATTTTAACTAATGATGTCAAAATAAGTATTATATAATTTGAAATTTCATTTCAAAAATTCGAAATATTATCAGTCAATGCCATTTATGACATAGACATATCACATCATTATTTCATCGAAAATAGTTTAGTGGCGCAGACTAGATGTTAGACAAAGAAAGATTCATAGGACCTCTCTACATTTCAATGCGGCCACGTTGGTAGCATTGAAGAGAGAGAGATGGAAGAGGAGAGAACTTTTCTCTCTCTCGTTCAAGATAGAAAAGAGCTCAATAAGATATCGGAGGAAGAGGCCAATTGACACGAGAATCAGAAGTATATTCATCAGTTCTACCAACTCTGCTTTTGCGTGATATCTCAGTTATCTTTGGAGATAGAACCTTGCGGTTTTCGCAGTCCTGTGCCCTATTTTTTGTGAAACTCAACATAACTGTTTCCGTTTTTGAGATAAAGGGCGATTTTGACAATTTATACTTTTTGGACCGCCATATTGGATTGTAAGGTAATGTGTCAAACTCGAAATGGTTTATCACTGTATACTCCGTGTCAACCGGTATATTATTATGTTAACTCAACTGTTGTAATAAAGGTAATTTTGTGAATATATTCATTATGCTTTGATTTTGTTGTAGGTCCCTGATAGAGGTGGCAGAACTTCAGAAATAGCTCCTCCTCCTCCAGAAATGCCACCGTGGTTGCAACGCTCAGCAGGCCCAGCTGGTGGGGGGCGTGGAGGTGGTAATTTCAATAGAGGTGGTGGAAACAACTTCTCAAGAGGAGGAGGAAACAATTACTCAAGAGGAGGAGGAGGAAACAATTACTCAGGAGGAGGAAACAATTACTCAGGAGGAGGAAACAATTACTCGAGAGGAGGCGGCGGAAACAATTACTCCAGAGGAGAGGGAAACAATTACCAATCGGGTAGAGGTAACTTCCAATCGTCTGTGGATAGAGGCAGTCACAATTCTAGCTACGGCAACAAGAATTTCGATAGCGCTGGTAGTTATAATGTTGCCAGCAAGTATAGTAATGATTCGGGTGGTTACAATCGAGGTGGATACAATTCTGGTAACAACCAAGGTGATTTTGGTCAGAACCAGAGTGCCTCAAACTATGGCGGTCAAAACAGGAGCTATGATAGTGACAGATATAGTGATAATAGTAGAGGGTATGATAACAGGAGAGACAGTGGTGGTGGTAATAGCTCCCATGATTTTCAACAAACCAAACGAGCCAAAACTTATGATTCTTTTCAAGCTAACAAATCTAGTTATGCCGATCAGTATGTCCAAGAAAGGGAGCATAATCAGCAGTACCATTCAAGAGGAGAAAGAGGCTTCAGAGGTGGATCTGGACGGTCTAATTATCAGCGAGGTAGAGGTAGTTATAGATAGAGATATATCATATAACTGGAAATGTAAACTTTTTGAACCTTGAATGATATTTATGTTTTATAATTTCTAATCTCTTATTAAATTTCAACTAGCTGATTAACTGAAATATATAGATTTGTGCTGAATATGGTGCGTTAATTTGTCCTTAATATGGGTTTATGTTCATTCATACCAGAAAACATTTTTAAATGCATATATTCATAATGTCCTTGGGTTACACAACATTCACAACAAAAAATACAGATAATGAAGGTGACAAAGTTAATTTCGAGCTACAACGGAAAATAAAAAACTACACTGCCCCCTGTAAGAGTTGAACTCACAACCTCTGGTTTTCATGTACAATTGGATCAAGGATATAAGATATAAGAAAGATGCCAGAGTAAAATGTCATAATGAAGAAGTTGATTGATAGGAACATAGGAACCCTATTCGATACCGTCAGTTCTCAAGGAGATCGGTGTTATCTGGGGATATGCTTTATAAAAGTTAGGACCTGCATCAAATTGCACGAATTCAATTTGACCTGAAATAAAGCATCGCCTACGATATGTCAACAAAAATGGGACCAAAACGAGAGGTACTTTCTGAATCTATAAGGACGGAAAGTGAAGGGTGGAAAATTTGAAATGAGTAGCCGTATTGTCGTATTATTTTTTTCCTACGTCGGCATCAACGCCTATTGGTCGATTTCGTTACCTATAGAGACAGAATTTGGTCCCGCTTTGAGGACAGTGAAATGAACTACGATATACAGGCCTTATGAACTACAATGTACACGCCTTGCAATAGGAGCACTCGTTATATATTGAAATATGGGGAATCAAGAAGGTGAAGAAAAGGGGATGACAGGAGGTTGTCACAAGAGAAAAAGGGAAGGATTGCATTCAAAAAGTGCATGTATCTTTTTCAACGGAGAGAACCTAACATAAGAATCTTCGAGTATCCTGATATACAGGGCAAAGCAGTTTGTTGGCAGCGCTGGAGTCAAACCACTTGAGTTGAGCAGTCACGGAAGGTTGTTACTACAGAGGCACAGACACAGGATCTTTGATTTGGTACCTGACTCTTATGACTAATGGTTATTCTGAAAGGCTGTGAGTAGTTCATGAACATTCATACGCGATTCGGTTAGTGAGTTCACGGGGGACTTTTTAGGTATATTTCTTTGTTTAGGGTTTAGATATAGTACCTAATGCATGTATGTGGACTTTAATAAAATATGTTTTTGATGGAATTCTCCTAACTCAATGCAACCAGCTACAGTTTGAATCCGAAGAAGAGTATCTCATTCTCAAATAATATTGAAGTTTATTATATTGGCGCCCAACGTGGGGCAAACTGTATCTTCTTGTTTTGGGTTAGTGAAGAAAAAAGGATATGGTAGGTGGAAAAAGTAATAAGAATGATGGTAAAAGTAAGCCGGACAATGATTCGAGCTCAAGTACATCACCAATTCAAGCTCAAGATTTACCAGAACGTGATGTCAACACATTGATTCAAATATTTTCACAAGGTATGATTGATATGCAGAATAGTATTGCTCAACTTGCTCTTACCGTCAAAGAAAGTCAGGATTCATTGAGAAGTAATTTGACGTTCCAAAAAGTCGCAGATCATGTAGAAGTTCACGACCAAATGTCGACAAACAATAATACCCAAAATCATTCGGAATCTAACGATAATAAACAATATTTTTCGATTTTTAAAGATTTGGGGGGTATGTCTCTTATTTTTAATCCAACTGGGGAGTTACATCCAGTGCAATTCATTAAGAAACTACAGAAGATGTTTGAGGATGCAAAAGTTCCGGAAAATGCTTTGCTGACGATACTGTAATTATAGTAACCGACCACACCTGGGAATCAGCGGTTCAAAAGGCGGAAGAGGCCATCTCTAAAATAAAAAACTGGCTAGACTGCAGTTTACTAACATTGAATGTGGAAAAAACCAAGTTTTTAGCGTTTGGTTTGACCCGAAGAACCTTGCCAAATGTGGAATTTCTAAAAATTCATGATTATGACTGTAACTTTGAGACTAATTCTTGTAAATGTAATTCTAAGATAGAGAGAAAGGACAGTGTGAAATATTTAGGAATTTTACTTGATGAAAACTTAAACTGGAAATTTCATATTAACATGGTTACCAGCAAAGTCAGAAAACTGATCTACAAATTTTATGAGCTGAGACATATTTTGAATGTAAATACTCTGAAGATGGTCTATTCTGCACTAGTTGAGTCAATTATCAACTATGGGTTGGTAGTTTGGGGTAATGCTTGTAAGAGTACCATGTCATCTCTTCATGTAGCACAAAAATATGTTCTGAAAATTATGTTACACAAGTCTAGGCTGTTCCCATCCGAGTTGTTATTTAAAGAAAGCAAATTGCTAAACATTGATCAGCTATATATTAAATCTACTATTAGATTCATGATCATGAAAAAATATTACAGAAGTGTACTACAACACAAACTGAACACAAGAGCAGCAGTTAGACAGAATATCTTCGTTCCGCATATGGCGCGTTCAGCGACACAAGCGCACATTGCTTATATAGGGCCAAAAGTTTATAACATTTTACCACTGCACCTTAGAAATAAGCCCTACAAACAAGTTAAACACCATGTCAATAGATGGATAGTAGAAAGTGAGGTGACTGTAAATGATTTATAAATCATCTAATCTTGAACATCACATGTCACATGCATCACAGTTATTAGGTTATTATTCATTATTGTCTTCTTATCACTTATTAGTTCCAAATTGCAGGGACCTCAGTATATCTATATATGACTGATTCTTAAGTTTAAGCTACATGGCTGCACACACAGATTTTTTTTTAAATCCATTGTGCATCCAACCAATGAATATATGTAATTATGTATTATTATTGTTCAGTATGTATTTTATTCACAAGTCTTAATTTTTTGCAATAAATAAATAAATAAATAAATAAAAAAAATTTAGCTGTAAATTGTTTGAGAGGCTCAGCAGCTGACTGGGCCACATCAAAAGAATTAGCATTTTCCAATTTCAGTAAATTTGTAGAGTTATTCAAAAATCGATACTGGGGAACTGAACATCAGCGTGAATTATTTTATGAAATAAAATACTGCAGATATCAGGGTGGTAGCAGAGCAGATTATTTATTGAAGCTACGAAATAAAGCAACCTACTTGACAGATGTAATTTCAGAATCCGAAATGATAGAGTGGATATCAAAACATTTTGAGTCGGACATACAGAGGGGTGTTTTATTGAGCGGGTTAAAAAGTGTTGATGATTTTGAGGCCTATTTGAGGAAAATAGATGAAACTTATCAAGCTGGGAGTTCAGCAAGGGGTGTAAACTTTCGTTCAGATGGAAGAAATATTGCGAATGGTAACAATTGGCGGGTACCTAATCTGAATAGAACTGGACAAGAGAGAGTAAATAATAATGCACCTTATAGAGACTATAGGCGTCAGGAAAATGGACAATATAGTCGTAACAATAATAATCTTTATGATAACAGAATTGATAGAAATCAAGATATTGTAAGAGGTGTTGAAGGGGTGAGAGATAATTTACAAGGAGAAAGTGCAAATTCAAGAGAAAATGATATACAGGGTGTGAATAGAGAAGTACGAATATTAGAAAGAGTATGTTTAGATTCAAATGAATTGTTGAGTGATGATGAGGAAGAAACTGAAATACAGTTTATGTCACCGGTGGTTGCAGTAAATATTTTGGGATTATCTATCAATATTCTGATAGACTCGGGAAGTCAAATTTCGGCCGTATCAGAAACATTTTTGAAAGAAATTCGCGATAATGAAAATAAGATTCCATCGCTGCCAGTCAGTAATGTGGGAGTTTCGGTTGCCATTGGTTGCAAGAAAGTAAAAATAAATGAACAGGTATTAATTCCAATAGATTTTGGGGGGTTGATAACCGATGTTATTTGCGTAGTTATCCCGAATTTGAATACGGATGTAGTTTTGAAATGCGATTGGTTAGTTTCTAATCGAATTGCTATAGATTTCAACAAAATGCACTTACTAATTCCAAGAGATTCTGAGAAATCGGAAGTTATAAGATTAAATGTACGAGGCGATATGGAAAACAATATTTCGATTAATTTATTGAAGGGAGTAGAAAATATAACAGAAACTAAGAGGCATACTTATACTGAATTCGAATTAAGACAAGTTGTAGAATTAGCTGAAACTTTCAATGAAACTAATAAGGAAAGATTATTCAAACTACTCACGAAGTATCGAGAAATATTTTCTGAGATGCCTGGGAGAACAGATCAATATGAACATAAAATTTCCATGAGGGATATTACACCATTTTGTAGAAGATCTTATCCAATACCATTCGCTTATCGGGAGGATGTGAAAAGGCAAATAAAAGAAATGTTAGATTTAGGAATAATTAGAGAATGCGCAACAGAATATGTTTCACCATTGATAACAGTAATAAAGAAAGACAAATCAGTAAGAATATGCCTGGATGCACGTTATTTGAATAAGAAAATGGTAATGGATCATGTTATTCCACCACAACCTGATGATTTATTGTTTAAATTCAAAAAAGGTCAGATAATAAGTACAGTTGACTTGACAGCAGGATATTGGCAGGTGCCAATCGCGAAAAATGATCAAATGTATACGGGGTTTAGCTTCGAAAATGTAACATACTGCTTTCAGGTTTTGCCATTCGGATTATCAACTTCTGTAGCTAGTTTTGTGAGATGTATAAGTAAGATACTGGGAATTGAATTTGAGGATTTCACACTGGTCTATGTCGACGATTTATGTATTTTTTCAGAAAATTCTGATAAACATTTAATACATTTGGAAAGAATTTTTGAAAAATTTCGTGTATGCAATTTAACAATAAAACTTCGAAAATCTAAATTTGCTAGAAAACAAGTTGAGTTTTTAGGGCACATTATTTCTGCTGAAGGTGTTAGTGTCAATCCGGAAAGGGTTTTAGCGATACAAAATATCCAAAGACCTCGTAATATCAAAGAATTAAGGAGTTTCTTGGGTTTCATTAATTTTGAGCGGCGTTTTTGCAAGGGTTTTGCTGATTTAACAAACCATTGATATGTTTACTGAGAAAGGATGTAAGGT